CATCGCTTGCAGTTGGGGAATGGTAGTTGGGCAGTGGCAGCAATGACCCCAAGGACACATTACACGGATGGCTTCCAGCTACATTCACAGCAGCCTCCTATGATTATCACCCTCTTTTACAGGTGTGGGAAATGAGGTACCTCAGGATTAAGCAGGCAGCAGCCCACAGCAATGGAGTAGTAGCACACCCAGAGAGCCACAGCCAGAGACAAGAGAGCTGGAATTCAAACCCAGAGCTGCCCTTGCCCAGAGGCCCATGCCCATGCCTCAGTGAACCAGGGCTGAGATGCCCTCTCACCACAGCCCACTTGAAAGCAAAGGATCTCAAGGCCTGACACATCATTCACTTCTGGCTTCCTGGGCGGGAAAAAGCCCAGTGACAACAAACAAAAAAGGAGAGAAATCACGACTGAAATGGTCAAACTGCAAAAAACATCAGAAGACCCAGATGATGGGCAAAAGGCAAAACTTCACAATGATCCTACAAATACGTATCAATTATTGCAAGAAGAGCAGCAATCAAAAACCACAGAGAGCTCAGGAGGACGCTGATGAGCTCCTGATTAGAAAGTCCCATGGTAGAAGCTTTCGGGGTTTCCAGCTCTTTTCATGGGCATGTGCACAGTAGGAGTTTTGCAAGGTTGCTAAGCAACGCCTGACAACCAGATTTCAGAGCAGATCACTCAATAGGAGTCTTTCACAACTGTAGTAAGGCAATAATTTTAGTTCATGAAATCCAAATTTTAGATACCTTTAATAACTCGTTTAAGAGGTTGCCAGTTAAATTGCCCTTAGCCAGACATCAAAATGTAAATCTGTAATTGCTTATCTTTCACTTGCAAGAACCACACAAAGATGTGTATTTATGAGGCTTGTTAGTCCTTTATGCAACTTGTATTTGTTGAAAACATACTATGTGCATGACACTATTCTAAGCCTTGGGCAAGACATTCTAGATGCTCAGCAAGGAAGCATATATGAAAAAAAAAAAAAACCCACTAAGTCTTCACTGCAATTAAACTGTCAGAATGATAAGGCTCAGAGAAGTAAAGCAATCTGTTTGGAGTTGCACAGCACCTGGAAGGCGGGTATACCATCAAAGCATTCCGTGGAGTCTCTGGGAGAGCCCTGAGCTTCCCCGAGAGGCCACCTCACCATAGTTGGTCCACAGAGGTGCCACGACCCACCAGCTTGCTCCGGTCCTCTGGACTGGCCCTGAGGGCTGAGCACGCCAGGATACAGGGCTTGGTGGTTGAGCATCTTGGAAAATCTCCCACTTGACCTCAGGACCTCTGTGGTCCAGCGAGGGAAGGCCTATGACATGGTGTCGGTTTTTATTGGACCCAACCACCGGCGAAGCCTGCCGTCATCTGGAGTGATGGAGAAAATTAAGTTACCACATTCTCACATTTCAGCCTCTCGCCCGTTTTCCTGCGCAAACAGGAAATGTTTATTTAAATACAGCAGTCTCCAGCATGTTCTGGAGCCAAGCAAAAAACCAAAGATGTCCATCCTGGACCCACCCCCCTTGGCTATTGAGGCCACCATGTCGCCATGGGTGACAAGTGGGCCCACATCTGCCTCCATGCTGGATGGCGACAAGAGGCCCCTGGTAAGAGTTTATTTTCGTCAGCCGCCTCTTCCAGGCTGAGGTTGTGGCTGAAGAGGAATTACATCTGGGGGCTCCTTTTGTGCTCAGAAGGGTAAATGCAACATCTGTTTACTCTGTGCTCCATGGTAAATGTTTTGTTTCAGGCAGCGCCATTCACTTCCTCTCCTCTTGGCCTCTATCTCTGAGGCATGGATAATAAATCACACTGAATTCTGCTCAGCGTTTATTTAGCTTTCTTGTGGGTGTCACCTCATCATGGAGTTGTGGGGGGGCTAGGGGTGTCTGTCGGTAGTTTATAAAAGTCTGTGTTTTTTTTTCTTTTCTTTTGCTTTTTTTCTGGGCGAAGTGCTAACATAATGGGGAAGAATTCAGAACATAAAACCTCTGGTTCTGACACCAGCTTCAAGACTACAACTGAGGTCCCATTCCAGGCCCGAAGCAAAATTCAAATGGTGCCCACATGACCTGTACTTGGGTTCTTCCCCATGTTCTACTACAAGGTTTCATAAATTTAAAACATCCAGGGAAACAGTGACACACGTACCATGTGTGTACGTATGCACACACACATGCAGACATGCCTCTGTAACCTGTTCTCTGGGAGAGCCAGTCACAGCAATGGCAGATGGAGAACACATTTCTTCCTCGTTTTTTAAAACCCGTGCTCAACACACACCAGATCAGACAACCAAGTTCTAGAATTGGACAGTGGTGTCAACAAAACGTGTGCCCCTAACACAGGATTCCCAGGGACATGGAAAGGACTCCGTGGAGGAAGCTCCCTCCTTCCAGCAGCCTTTGCTTACATTCTTCAAGTGGAAGCGCTGGCTTCCTGCTGCATGTGCAGAGATGTGCTATATGGTCCTGGAATGCAGCAAAGGTTCAAGCCTTGGTGGTGGAATGAATGAAGGGAAGAATGAATGGAAACTTCCTCAAGATAGCCTCAGTGTGTCACAGAAATGCCAAAGCCTACCACCCCCTGCCAAGAGCCTGCAGAACTGAAATGCAACATCAGAGCTAAGAGAGGAGGGACAGGGAGTAGGGTGGTGAAGGACGGTTGGTGCGCTGCCCTTAAACCCTGCAGTGACCCTGACCCAAAAGGCCACCTCGCACTTTCAAGGAGGAAGGAGACTGGAATGAGCAGCTTTGGCAGGCACAAGCCCCCAGGACAGCCCAGCCAAAGTGGCACCAGCGCCCAGCCCCAAGGCGGATGAGACACAGACATTTCAAAGCAGCTCCTTACCCTGCCAATGCCTGTCAGTGACCATGACCGCGACAGTGGAACCACGAGGAGGCACAGGACTCCCAGCTCCACCCAGCTGCCCCAGTTGTACAACAGATGACATTTCCTAAGCTGCCTGGGTCTCCTGAGGGAGGTAGCTGCCTGTCACAGGGGCCACAGGGTGGTGCCCCCAGCCTTCACAAACTCCCCCACAGACCAGGGAGAGAAGGACCCACTCTCCTTTATTTCCCAAACATGCAACATAATTTTTTTGTTTGTTTGTTTTGGGTTGATCAGAGACAAGCAGGTTTGAGAACTCGGGGTGGGAGAACTTGTGCCAAAGGGAGCTGAATGTGCACACAGTACACCAACACAGCTTGTTCTGAGATCCAACCTGGTCAGAACCCTCTTGGGACCTCTGCCTGAATCAATCCAGCAAAGATTTTCAACAGAATGGTAGGGACACGTGCACATGGCAGGCAGACAGGCTTGGATTCAAACTTGTAACAAGTTACACGACCTCATCTGCAGAATGGAGTAACAGGTATTGGAACTAATGGGAGTGTTGTAGAGAGGCGAAAGATAACACATACGCAAATCAAGGCACGAAAAGGGCTCATTAAACCTGAGCTCCAGTGATTATTTCACGAGCTCACGTGGCTGGCATGAATGTGAAGAGGGGAACTTAGTCTGCAAGTTATAGTTAAATGAGTGTTTGGTGGAAACTGTTTGAATTACAGTATGGAAATCTGTTGCCAGCCCTTCTATTGCCCACAGCTTGTGTGTTTCCCTGGACAAGTCCTTTCACATATCCCAGTCTGGCTTTCTACGTGTGAGCTGCAAACTGTGTTTCTCCAGGACTGCACAATGCATCCCAACAGAATCAGTGCACTTAGGAGGGACGACATGTGCCGAAAAGAAAGCACCAGGGATGCGGGAGGTGATTCTATCGCATCTCCACCCAGAGCAACACAAAGACCAAGCAGAAGGAGGTAGCACGCTAGCAGGTTACCGAGCAGGCTCAGAACTGTCCACCTCAGTGCAACTCTTTCAGCCTCAAGCCAGGGCTGAGGAACGGGCCATCAAGCACCTGCACCTTGAGACCAGGTTGAAGGGGACGGAGGGGAGCAGACTGAAGGAGTGAACCCCAGCAGAGCAAGCCCTGATGCCTTCCCGGGCAGGCGGGACTCTCCAGCTCTTCACCTGGTTTCCCTCCCTCCTTCCCATCCTCACAGGATCATGAGGAGCCCACCCTGGAGTCCAAGTTTTGCATTTGGTCCGAGGATCAAAATGATAAATGTTTCCAAAACGTTGACATATGAAAAGTAAATATTTGATTGCACAATTGAGGTTAAAACGAGGGTCAATCCACACCACTCTCCAGTGCCTTCGCACTCACTGCCAAGCCCAGGAACCGAGGCTGAGTGCGGTTTGTAAGATTATAGCGCTCGGTCTCATTTAAAGGGCTGTCAGCATTTCCATTCTCCGGCCCGTTTGGGGAGGCATTTATAACAGAGTCATAAAAAAATTCACCCCGGCTGCAACTTGGCATCTCCCAGGCTGCACTCCCGGCAGGGTGAGCACCCACTCCCAGTCTGTCCAGGTCCTCAGAAGTTACACCTTCACGCATTCAACTTTCCTCGCCAGGGGCAGCCCCCAGGACTGCAGTTGCCTCCGGAACTGGTTTCCCAAGGGGTCCCAGTTTCAGGGCCTCTCTCTTTGCGCCCCGATGGCCCCATCACTCTGCCGCTTTCCTCGTTCCCCCCTTCCTCCCTTTCAACAAGGGAAGATCTTTTGCCCCTACTCTAAAAACCCCCAGGCTGCAGTGCTCTCTGGTCCCCTCCTGCCCGCTTTTGCCTCGGAAGCTGTCAGCGGGCCCTGCATGTGGAGCCCTCACCCCCTGGAGAAGCAGGGCATCTGCCCGTCGCGGGTGGGGCGGGGGCGAGGGCTTCCTGACTTCGCTCTCTAGACCTGCCCAAAACCACAGACCCCTGACCTGACCCAGAGAGCCAGGGATCCCATCGGGCAGGGGCTGAGACCAGAGACTGCATCCAGCACGCACTAGGAGAGAGGAAGCCTCTGGCGCCTGGGGGCCTCCCTGCAGGACCCAGGTGGGTGGCCCGCGTGGGGCGGGGCTGGGCGGGGCAGGACGATGGGGGTACTCACAGGCGCTCGGCGTTGCGGGGGATGCCCCGGGGAACCGCCCGGAGGCCCAGCCCGTGGCAGTCCACGCTGGCGGCTGAGCAGGTACACTTGGTGGGGCAGGCGGCAGCGGGGGGCCCGCTCAGGACGCTCGCCAGCGCCAAGGCCAGCGCCAGGCGGGCGCGCACGGCGGCGCCGGCCCCTGTCCGCCCGGGGGCCATGGTGTGCAGGGGCCCGCGCCTGGAGAAGGCTGGCGCGGCGGGGCAAGGCGCGTGGAGCCCGAGGAGGCGCGCGGAGAGCGCGGGCGGCCTGGGGAGCGGGCGGCGGAGTTGGCGCGGAGGAGGGGCGAGCTCGGCGCTCAGGCGCACGGGGCGCGGGCGGAGCGGGGCGCGCCGGGCGGCGGCGGCGGCAGCAACAGCAGCTCCATCGGCGGGGCTGACGCTGCCCCGCTGCGCATCTCTCGGAGCGCCCAGGTGCCAAGCGGCCCCTGGCCTCGTCGGCCCACCGCCCGGGTTGCGGGCTGGGGCGAGCACCTGAGGTGAACGCTGTGGGGCGCGGCGCCCGGGGAGGGTCGGCTTGGGGGCTGCGCTCTAGAGCGCGGCGGCAGCGGCTGCGGCTGGGGCACGGGGCGGCCGGGTGAGCTGGCCGGCACTCGCTCTCTCCATTCACTGAGCAGGGCAGACACCGGAGACGCGGGGCCCAGCCCTCTCCCGCCCCCCAAAACCGCCAGCTCCGCCTCCCATTGGCTGCGCAGCGCGTCGTGTCGACTAAGTTGGGAACTTTGCTGGAGCGACCGCGAGCCGGAGGGAGGAGGCGGCGGAGGAGGACGACGGAAAGCCCCGAAGACAGGGGGCTCGGCCCGCAGGGTCCCTTCTAGAATAAAGCCCTTGGAACTCACTCCCTCCGTCTGAGCCACGAACCAAGAATGCCTGGGGTTCCTTTGGTGTTTTTCAGCTCCGGCACCAGGCTGGGCACGCCGCTGAGCCTTGCCTTCTGCCCCTACACTGGCTCGCCAGGGGGCGTCTGAGTTAACGCCCCCGTTTGAGAGAGTAAAAACCCCAAAACTCAGAGAAGCCCCGCGATTTGCCCTAGATCACACAGCTCTGACAGCCACCGAATGTGGGCACTTTCACCCACTCACCGCCTTTCGTTCTCTTGGCAAAGATCTACAACTGCTTGCTTGAGGAGCTGCATAATTCAGAGAAACCCCTCCTGCAGTGAGATGGTTGGGGTCCCTGCAGGCAAACCCGGACCGGCCCCCACCGATTGAGGATGGGGCCTTGGGCTCTGGGTGGACAGCACCGTGTCCAGAGTCCCTGAGCTGCCACCCCCTGGCTTGGTGCCTGTGAGCCCGTCTGAACACCTGGGAGCCTTCATTCCCTTTAATTCAAGGCCCACCGCCCTGCCAGGACCCATCGCCCAGGGTTGTTTGGAGAATGTGTTTTTCCAAAACAGTGCTTCGCATGCGAAGCATCCCATCAGCCCCCAAGCCTTCCATCTCCAGTACCCGCTCTCAATTGGCCAGGTCTGAGCTTTTCCAGATGCCAGTGGGGAGGGGCAGCCAGAGGCTCCATAAATACTTGCAGGGCTGGTGTGTGTGTGTGTGTGTGTGTGTGTTCGTGTGTGTTCGAAGGGAAAGAGCAGGAGCCCCAGGGAGGCTTTCCAAGACTTCCGCCACATCTACTTACATTGAGAAGGTCTGCAGGAAACCTATATATAGGCACAGTCACACACACTCACCTCTGTCCATGTCACACATACACAGCCACACACGCTCAGCCGTTCATTCCACACATATACAAGTTCACACACTCACCCATGTTCGAGTCACGCACACACGGCCACACACGCTCACCTGTGCTTGTGTCACACATACACAGCCACACACGCTCAGCCGCTCATTCCACACATACACAAGTTCACACACTCACCCGTGTTCGAGTCACACACACACAGGGTCACACACTCACCTACACTGGTGTCATGCGCGGTCACACTGGCCTGTGTTCATGTTATAATGTTACATGCACCCTCCCACATTCATGTTACATATTTCCGGTCGTACATGTTCAAGACCACACATGCTCTCCCTCATACAAACCCAGTCACACACATTTTATTGCTAATAAACATTCCTGTCCGTACTAACAGCCATATGAACGCCCCTGCTTCTATGCGTGCACTGGTGCCTACACACACTCCTACAAGTTCGTGTCCACACACATGCTCATACCACACATGCACGCCCACGACAGACACTTACGTGCACATACACACCTGCATAGTCGTGCTTCCATATCCACACACCGACAGAGCCCCATGACAGCACCTGTACTCCTGGGAACTCCACCCTCTCCTCAGATCCTGCCTTCAAGCAAACTTTCAACGAATTGCTTCCATTCTGTGCATTTAATGTAGAGGTGCTGACGTTATATCATTACTCTGAGCATATTTTCCACATCTTAGCTCCAGGCACCCAGCTGTCCACACACGCAGGCATGCACCTCTATCCTTCATGAACACAGTAGGAGCAGTTTGACCGTCGCTATTCTTGGGAACAGCCTTCTCTGCAGATGCTGTTAGCATCGCCCTCTGGTGGCCAGGGAGGGGGTCAGTGCTGATCCTCGGGGGTGACTTGGGCTTTTAACAACTCTTAAACATCCTCCAGCACCTGGGGACAGGGCAGGGGCTGTGCCTTCCTTTGAATCTCTGGAAGCGGGGAGGGGGCTGGTGGCATGAGCCAACTAGACCTTTAAGTGGCTTCACAAGCATTTACATGTGCTCCTGGGACCGCAGGTATCCCTGAGCAGCCCTGGGGCAGGAAGAAGAAGCAGGTGGCGCCTAGATCACCCAAGTACAAAGAAGCCCACAGGGGTGGGGCTGGAGCAGCCTTCCAAGTTATCGAATCTATGGTTCCTCCACGTGCCCTACTGCAACTTCTGGTCTTACATGTAGATTACTTCATTGATGAAGACCAAAGTTTCTTTGGGCAAAGCGGGAGTGGGGACAGACGTCCAGGGCCGAGAGGATGTCTGACTCCGAGAGCTCCTACCATAGAGAAACCTCTTTGTCATTTAGTTTTCTGAACTCTTTTTGTGTTAACTTAAAATTCCCCTGGAACATACTTCAAGAATGCCAAATATAATCCAACCCTGGTGTCTTACAACAAGAAAACTGAGTCTCAGAGAGAAATGGCCCTTTGGGCAAGGTCACCCAGTTGATGAGTGAGGGAGTTGGGGGCTAGGGACCAGAGATAGCTTTATTTTCTGGTGTGATTTTTCTCTGAGTCACTAAAGTCTACGTTAATCACCATTTAAATTTTCACATTACATCTTCATAAATCTTTCAAAAGCAAACCAGTCACATGTTCCTTCCAGGAAAAAAAAAATCTTAAATTCCCTCCTGCACCTGCTTTTGTCTCCCTATGTAGGTTACCATCATTCTTAAGGCCACCAAATAATCAGCTGAAGGCTTTGGGCTACAAGGAACAGAAATTAACTACAGCTCATTGAAACAATTAAAAAAAAAAACACTCAGACTTTTTAAAAAGGGCACGGGTAGCAGATAAAATGTAAGAAACCCATTGAAGAAGAAAGCTTCAAAAGAGACAAGGTGCCAGGCCTAAGATTTCCAATTCCCAGGCTGTTTGCTGGCCTGGCCTGAGTCCCGTCAGCAGCGTTCAGGCCAGAGAAGACAAGAACCTGAAAAGGACACTCAGGACACCCTGGGAGCCACAGCTAAAGAAGCAGGTGGGAGCAACGAGAAGTGACGCAACTAAAGAGCGTCTTTCTGCTCTCACACAGCCGTTCCCTGGCTGAGAATTAGTTGTTCTTCCATGATCATCTCTTGACTGTCCTCTTCACCAAGCCCATCCTGCTGTGCAGTGTTCAGATCTGTGGTTTCAGGCATGGATGTTTCTCATATTGGCCCACATGTGAGTGTGTATGTGTGTGTGTGTGTAATCTTACTTCTTCATTTTTGCTCGGCCAAGCTACCCTTTGCCATAGCACAGATCTAAAATGCAGATCTGACAATGCAAGCCTGAACTTGGTGAGAGAGGAGTTAGAGTGGGTAGTAGGCAGTTAGGGTATTCTGGGTCCCCGAGTAAAAAGAGAATTTCCCCACCATGTCTTGGATTCACCTGGGCACGTTTCTTCCAAGGGACAGGGGTTCTATTAGCATATCAATTCCCCACCTGAAGTATTGGCCATCACCTCTGGCCATCGTGGGAGGGCCTCAGGCTGATCTCTTTATCATTGAAAGGAGAGCAGGAAGAAGTAATACACATCTGCCCAAGGCCTGGAATGTCCTATGTCTGGCACCTCTGTGGCCTTTTGTGCCAAGGCCAGGTAGCATGGAAACCAGGAATTTTCTTTGTTCATGGAGAAACATCTTTGAGGGAAACCTTTAAAAGGTGCATTTCCCCACCATTGATTGGGGGTTCTTCTTTTCTTCCTGCCACTATGGCACAGGGTTTGGCTTCTTGTCCTCCTGCCACTATGGAGGACTAGGGTCTTTTTACTTTTCCTCCTGCCATTATGGCAGGGGGTAAGGGTCTTTTCTATCTCAAAACCCCCTCCTGTCGCTAGGACGGGAGTCTTCTCTTCTCAGCCTTTCTAATAAATCTTGCTTTAAAACTAAACTGTGTCCGCATGAAAATTCTTCTTTCCTGCGAGACAAGAATTTGAGCTTGCTGCCATACTCGGAGTCAAAAATCCTGCAACATCGGGATATTTCTGCCTTAGCCTCATCATCTCCTGTGAATCTCCCAGATCCAGCCAATACCCCTTCCTGCCCTGCTGGTCTAGAATCAGCTTGGCTGTCCATTCCTCCAGAAAACGTTGCTGGTCCAGACGGTTAGATGTTTAAGGACAATAACTCTATGTAACCCATTCCCCCCTCCCACCATTTTGTTATTTAAAAAAAAGAAAAAAAAAACTTTTTCAGGCATCCAGAAATGCATAATCTGCTTTTGCATGCTTGGTACCTGAAGTGCTAAAAAAAAAAAAACAAAACTTTGGTGATTGGCAATTAAATGAATGAACAAATGATGTTCCCAATCAGTTAGCTTATTTGACAATCTTCTGTCACTGTTTTGATTGATGTATCTCATAATCTTTTGGAGGAGGAAATTACATTCTTGCGAACTATACACATCACCCTCCATGTTCTGATATCTTTACTTCTACACCATTGAGAACCACCCTGGATGCTGCACATCTCCATATCTTCTGTGTGGTGCTGTTAGAGGCCGTTGTGTTACTCCAGAAATGAACGCTGCAAATGGTCCCACCTGCACTCCCTTGGGTCACCATTTGGGATCCCCCCTCAGAGAACTACAAGAAATTCTCTTTGGAAGGGACTACCTTCCTCTTCCTACTACAGGTCATAATTCATGTCCAAAAGTCCTGCACGCTAGCCCTGGGTCTCCTCTCCTAGCCCCCTACCTCCTAGAGGGGTGGAGTAGCAAGGTTTTCTTTACCCACCCTGACATTTCTGTGTTAGTTTTTTATTACACCATCATCCATTTCTCTTTTGAGTTGTACTATGAAATTCCTGCCTGAGAAATTAATGTACTACCTCCCAGAGCCACCCAGGCAGATCACAGAGGGGTGGGTGAACAGGGAGGAAAGAGAGAGGATGCAAACTCCAACGTGATG